TAAAATATACCAGTTTTATCCATGTGTGTCAATATTTAACCAATTTCACAGCGTCTTCGCATCTTTCCCACAACAGTAAAAATAGAAAACAATTCCATGAATAAGCCCTAGGAGTTCATTTATTTGGCATTGTATTTTACTGCCCTCAAGTGGTTAAAGGTGTTAGTTGTCACGCTTTTCTGTCATGGAGACTGCAGAATGGAGGTCGTTAGCTGAAGTAGGTCACTGGATATGCATTTCTGCAGCAGAAAATTTGCAGTACGTTCCGGTTACACTTGAAATGTTGACACTTTTTTCTAATGTTCTTTACATGACTGTTATATTTTTGGAATAGGGACTAACATTTTTGTATATGCTGTCTTATATATTCTTCTTATAGTAGGGACTTTTTAATCTAAATGTAAGGAATACATTAAGGCACCTGGTCAGCTCTGGTCACTTTTACTCTTTCACAACTGTATCGTTTAGCCTTATTAGGTGATATATCGGTGTTATATGTGTTACACTTTCTTTGGTGTGGTGGATGCAGAGTAGTTTAAATGCACTTTATTCAGTATAATTTGATGGTACATTTTGTAAATTAAGTAGATATTGTATACAAAAGAAATTTACACTTTGACACAATGGTCCAACTATGAAAAACATTCCATGTTTATCTGTTCACCAAAAAGTGTTTATTTTTGCAATTGGAACAATTTTGTTTGTGATAGATGTGACTCAGATGCAGACACTTGAAGTGTAGTATGTGGAATAAAATATTTATTTCAAAACATGCTGTCTTTCTGACTCACTTCCTGTCTGTTTTCCTACAATTAAATTGCTAAGAAAGGTTCAATATATCGTTGTGCCTATAATATTGCAGTACATCCCAATATATCATATCGTAGCCCCCGTATCGTGTACTTATCATATCGCTAGATTCCTGCAAATACACATCCCTAATTTATATGTGTGTATGTACTGTATATATGCAGTATTTGTTCTTTTGTTTAAAAAAAGAGGCACTGCTCTGTGTAATGAATATAGTATATACAGCTTGTATTGTCTAATATAATATTGATTAACTGTTGATACTTTCATTAGTATACATTTATCTTCTACCACTCCTATCTGCTAGAAAAGCTCAAATTTAACAGAATGTAGCAAGAAGAATGCCAGGTGTGCAGTAAATGTAAAGTACATTTCTTCATAAGAGCTGCTGTAATGTTTAAAAATGTTGGTATAATAATTTTTTTTTTTAAATCGACCCTTCTATTTATAATTGTATTCTTTAATCTGTGGGAACAGTATAGTTGTTATTACATTTACTTTCAGTTAGACAAATTCAATGTAACGTTTAAAGGTGGGAATATGTAAAGAGGGAGGGGGCACAGCTAACGTCGAAATTCTAAGCGTTATTCATCGGGGTACAACGCCAGACTTAAAAATAATTTGGACGGGGAAAATAAAGGTTTAAAATGCGGCTTACTGTGCTGATGGTGCATGTGTTTAAAGATGTGTGGATATTCCGGAGCCTAGCGTCATTCGGTCATCAGCCAATCATCTTTGTTCTACTGCAGCCAATAGCATTACGTCACGAAGTAAAACAGGATGTAAGTAATACCAGATGCTAACGCCGCAACTTATTGACAGGGAAACAAACGAAATTCACCTCAGTGAACAACGTAGCTTTATTTTTTTCATCAGAGGTCGCCTGGGACGTTAAGTATTACGTTATTAACTTGAAGATTAACTTATTAAGACTACCGGTTTCCGTGTATCGCCTTTACTAGCAAAGCGGCTGACAGGCTAGTCGGCTCGACGCAAATGTGATTGTTCGCCGACAAGGGAAAATACACAGAGAAGACTGCGTCCAGGGCGAGGAGAAGGAGATATCTCATCGACATGAGTGAAACTATTGCAAGGTACTGAACACCTTAGTAGGCTTCCACTTGGAGTACACATTTGTTAGGAGTTTATCCTAAATTTAGTTACATCAAGTGTTAGCTAGGTGTCGGATGTCGGATTACTGCATATGGGTAGGTGTTGTTCGTGGTTCTTTTCTTAAATTAGGAAGGTTCACAGGAAATATGCATCTGTTGTCATTTCCTACACAGCCAGCGGTGAAGCAGGCTCCTGTATTTTCACTAATGGATCCACATTGATAAAAGACGACAACCTCCAAAAACTGGAGACTGTGGCAGACGCGTAGACAGATCAGTGTTGGTGGTTTCTAAACTTCAGTCACATGACAAATTCTTTCAACTGAAAACTTCCCTTAACTATGATCAGACCAGTCCCTACATTCACACTGTTTACCAGTAATCGTTTTTACGATGTTGAAAATGGGCTCATTTCTCAGTGTTTTGTACATTGTAAAATAAGGACCGAATTATATTAACATGGTAATCCCACCATCATAACATATTTTGATTTCTTTTTTACTAATACTTGAAACCACACATCCAGCATCTAGTTTGCTTGTATATTTTTTTATGAACTAATTTTTACTCCTTCTTTTGTGTATTTACCAGTATTGTAGTGGGAAGCATCAGAGAGCTGTGAATGCTCTAGAGGCATGAACTCTGTTTCCCCAAGCACAGCATACTACACCAGGGGCGTGATGCAGGATGAGCTGGTTGAGAAAGGGAGACAGCAGGCCATGGAGCGGCAGGGCAGCTGTAATCGTGTGCCTCCTCAGGCTTCAGAGTCCAGGAAAGAGGCGGCTGAAGAGCCAGACGAGATGGACAAATTGAAGGCAAAACTCATGTCAGCGTGGAACAACGTCAAATATGGTACGTTATTATTTCAGTTGTTATTCAAAATTATGTCCTTTTTCCTAATGTTTGCTTCGCCACATCCTTCACTCACTGTCATTCTCTCTGCTCCACTGTCTGTAGGGTGGACTGTTAAGTCTAAAACTTTTTTCAACAAGATTTCACCCGTGACTGTTTTGGGACACCAATATCTGCTGAACAGTGAAGGTATGTTCAGGACCATACATATCTTCACCGAGAGTGAAACATGAGTCCAACTGATCAGGGGTTGTTGATGTGAGCCTTTGATTTTTTTTAGCATTTTTATATTGCTTCATATTATACTGTACTTTTGCAAAAAAAAACAACAACAAAGTATGGTGAAAAACAGTGTGTCATTTTCTTTTGTCTCATCTGTATTCCAGATGAAGTAGAACGTTTCCGATTGGCGTTTGTATCCAGGATCTGGCTGACCTACAGGCGGGAGTTCCCTCAGCTGGAGGGGTCCACATGGACCACCGACTGTGGCTGGGGCTGCATGCTCCGCAGTGGTCAGATGCTTCTGGCTCAGGGACTATTAGTACATTTGATGCCAAGAGGTTTGTGTCATCGTCTGACCACGTCACTCTTTTCCTAATTTTCCTTATTATTACATAGACATGAATAAACTGACACTTTAAACTCACAGACTTTGTGCCAAAGAAGAAAACTTTTCTACAAATGGTGTTTCTAATTTTAGGACACGTGGTGAACATGTCCTGAAATTAGAAACATTGTCAACATTTCGGCCTGTTGGTTATTATATTAAATTGTCCCTTTTTTGTCATTTAAATATTTCGGCCTGTTGGTTATTATATTAAATATGTTTTGTTTCTGTTTTATTAGCTTCTAAATGTGTTTTTTGTTTTCATAAATAACAGATTGGATTTGGCCTGATGCTCACCAGTTTACAGATGTGGACTTTGAAGTGTTCAGACCACGCTCCCCAGCTCGGGCTGGAGGGGTCCCCATCCCTACTTTTGGGTCTCCGCGAGGATCAAATAACCCTGAAAAGACTATTCCCAACGACCAAGTGCTCAAATGCAGTCAGAAGAAGAGGCCTGAGTATGCGAGGGACAGACAGGCAGAGCAGGTTCACCACAGGCTGGTCACCTGGTTCGAGGATCATCCCCCGGCACCTTTTGGAATTCACCAGCTGGTGGATATCGGTAAAGCTTCAGGAAAGAAGGCTGGTGACTGGTACGGTCCCTCGGTGGTGGCTCACATATTGCGGTAAGATGTGTTGCTAACTTGCCTCCATGATTGTCTGATTGACTCCCTACTCATAACATGTGCAAATTGGCTTATATTTCCACCTCAGCTCATAAGAATATGTCTCAAAAATGCAACTCTTTATTTCAAGATCTGACCACAATTTGGTTGTAATACAGTTTTTTGTTGTTTTTTTCTGTGTGTCCACATGAAAGGTGATATGCTGTCCACAAAATATTTACATTTATAAAGTTTGATTTCTTTTTTTTTTCCTTCACAGGAAAGCAGTAGCAAAAACCTCTGCTCTCCATAACTTGGCTGTATATGTGGCCCAAGACTGTACAGGTGAGAACAGCAGTCATCTATGTCCATAATGTTTAAAAATGTCTTTTAAGGAAGTCTCTTCATGTGGCCCTGTCTTCTTAGGGCCACATGCTGAAATGTTCATTATTTGTCCTGAACTTTACAACACATAAACTGCTGTAATCATACAATTCACAAGGTCACAGTATTTTCTTTTTTGTTCCTGGCCAAAGACTTACCACCCCTACATTTTTTTCCCTAGTGTACAAGGAGGATGTAGTTCGTCTGTGTGATCTACCACTGAGCCAGACTTCCTCTGATGGATCCAGCCAAGCCTGGAAGTCTGTGATCATACTGGTCCCTGTCCGACTGGGGGGTGAAACCCTCAACCCCTCTTACATCGAATGTATCAAGGTCTGTCTGTTCTGCTTCATACTGTACATTATATCCACACATCTCTTGGATGGTGTAACTCTGCTGAAAAGTCAGTAAAATAATTACTGATGTTGAATATGATTCTAGAATCTCTTAAAGCTGGAGTGTTGTATTGGAATAATTGGAGGAAAACCTAAGCATTCTCTATATTTCGTCGGCTTCCAAGGTGAGAAAACTTTGGGTTTGGAATAAAATAGATATATATTTATATTTACATAGAGGGATATTTGACAATTTAAAATGTTTGAGTGTTTGAAGTAGACATGCACTGCACACAGTTAGTTATAAAATAGTTTAACAATGAGTTTAAATAAAACTGGTCTTTCCTGCTTCACTATTGTTCAAGGCTAGTGTTGCTTGTACAGCAACACTCTGTTCTGCTTGAGGCAACGTGATTATAAGGAAACTGACTCAGCAGAGTTGCGTTAAAATGGAACAACGTTGTTATAGTCAATAGTGTTTTAATTTAGTGAATTCTTGTATGAATTAAGTTAAAATGTTCAAAATGTTTTTTTGGCTCAGTGACATGTTCCTGGTGTCCAGCCCTGTAACAGTGAACCTGGAAGGACTACAGCCAGTTAGACATTGAGCTCACGATTGGAGCAGTGTTGTGTCGTATTAATGTTGTTTTAATGTTGTGTTGTGTTAAAGAAGCACTAAAAACTCCCTGAAATCCGTTGATCACTGCTTGTCTGTCTGTCTGTATAGGTACAGCGACAAGTCTAACTGCTAAGATTTGTACTGAGAATACATATTTGTTTTGCTGCTCTTTTTCCTGATACTGATTGGACAGTCAGCATATTGTATATTTAGCCTTAATGAATGGTAGATAATTTTATTCTAAATAATTTTAGGTAGTGTTTTAATAGTACTGAGTGGATGTCATGAATCCACTCATCATTCAAAAACTAACATGCAGGTGTTAGGTATTAAAACAAGTTTGATCATTAAAACATTATTAAAAACTTGACTTAACTGTGGTATTTACAGCTACAAATCTGTGTGTATTTATTTGTTAGTATGTAAAACATTACACTTCCATTCTGTCTGTTTGATTTTTCTTTTACCCATTCTTTTTCTGCCTGTCAGATGAGCAGCTGTTATATTTGGATCCTCACTACTGCCAACCTGTGGTGGATGCAACACAAGGCAGTTTCTCTTTGGAGGTAAACACTACTGCCAAAATAATGCCCACGTGACAAAAAAAAATGCAGCCAAGCTTTCTTATAATGGCAGCGTGTTTAATCATGACTGGAAGACATGTAACACACACACACACGTCTCTGCACAATATGCAGAAAAATCCCACTAAAACACTCCAAACTGTCATCACTTTTTTTGACCTCATGTACCTAGTCCACCACACTTGGAGAATCTCTGATCTTCATATTGTTATTTTCCTCCTGTGCCCCTTCCTTTCCCCCCACCCAGTCCTTCCACTGTAGCTCTCCCAAAAAGATGCCCTTCAACCGCATGGATCCCAGCTGTACCATTGGCTTCTATTCTAAAAACAAGAAGGATTTTGAGTCTCTGTGCTCTGCTGTTAATGTGGTGAGTTTAACCATCGACTCATTATTTTCACTGTTCATCTCTTGTTATTGTCTTACATGAGTTGAGGTTTTTTTTTCTACACTCACAGGCTCTGTCATCATCCGAAGAGAAGTACCCCATCTTTAGCCTTGTAGAGGGAAAAAGCCAGGATTATGGATTGGAGGGCCACAGCAGCAGCAGCAGTCACAGTGGATCCAGTGAAGCTCATATTTTGCCCCAGAGTCGCGTGAGCACAAGTAACAACAGAAGAAACAGTGATGAGTTTGTCTTCCTTTAATGCTGCCTGTAGGATGCGTTCTCAGCTTTTACCAGTAGGGGGCAGTATCGGTAAATCGCCTTCTTAAGAGAAGAACTCTTCTGTTACTCAAACACCTGAGAACATTTGGATACATACCATACATATCATTTCTATGTGTATCCCAGTGATGGTGAACTAGCCTGACGTCCCCTGGCTGGAATAGGACAAGCTGGACTCACTCTGAATAGTGTTACACTATTAAGCTCACTGTTCTAGTGAAGGGTCGTCCATTGTTGTTTTTGTCTTGTTGTTTTATGTACCCACAGCTGTACATCTCTTCTTTATTTATAAGTGTGTGAGTAAGTGAGGGGTAAGTAAAGGTAACATGTTGTATTTAATAGTTGTACTGATATATTTTTAAGTCACACTGCAACCACGAAGGTTTAACATTCGTCCAAGCAGCTATAAACCTGTATTATTTTGCACACTGGTTGACCACAGGTGAACAGTAGACCTTAGTTTTTAGGTCCCCAGAAATCTACAAAACTCACAGAAGACAAAAGATTATTGCTTATGAAGAGGTCAAGAATAACCCTTCAGTTGACTTAACTATGGAATTGGATGCTAAAAAATAAACCATAATATTTTCGTTTTTTAATACTTAGTGGTATTGCTTGGCAATCCTGTCTGAGCTTTTACC